ACTAACTAGATACCCAATGCCGTTATAGGAGCCAGCCAAGTATTACTGACTGGAAGGTCACAGCAACCCTGTGCAGTAGTCACCGTCACCAGGCCAGATGGGAAAACAGGGGCTAGGATTTGAACCAGGCAGCCTGGCTCCGGACTCGGCTTTCAACCACTGGGTTCGGCTGCGGCTCCCGGCTGGCTCAGAGCGGAAGTGTTAGGACAGGGCTGGTGAGGATTAAGGAGTGAAAATGGCCAGGAGTTGGCCTCAGGTGGGATGTGGGCCCAGGGTGATGATGGAGCCATGGCAGGCGCTTAGAGGCCCTGGGTCCACTCACTGAGCTGTGGAACCAGGAGGAAAGAGGGCCCTGGAGGCTTCAGTCTTGCTATCTGTAAAATGGGTTCAGGAACCTGCCTCAGTGGCAGAGAGGGCTGGAGTGAAGGTGCTTGTGTATCGAAGTTGCTCTGTCAATGGAGCCTGCCCTTGCCACCTCCCCTCTGCTCCTGCCACTGTCACACACATGCCCAGTGTCCCCTCTGGCCCCTTTCTGGCTGCCTCTTGGGGCACCCTGCCCTCTGAGATGTCTTTCTTTGGTGTTTCCTCATGAAGCCAGAGGTGGCTTTGAAGCCCTCTCAGGGAGAGAGAGAGAGAGAGAGAGAGAGAGAGAGAGAGAGAGAGAGAGAGAGAGAGATGTAAAAGCAGTTCAAGGGATGTAGGTTGAAAGAATTTGGAAATGCAGATGGGCTGCATGAGGACTTTTAATTTTTGTTCAGAACATCTGAGTGCCTCTGTGGGCCTCCCACCTCACAGAGCAGCGCCTCCCCCTGCCACAGAGAGGAGGTGAGAGCATGTGGTGGTGGTGGTGGTGGTGGTGGTGGTGGTGGTGGGGGGGCTGCTGTGAGTTTGGGGCAGGCTAGGTGATCACCCTCCAGCCCCACCCCTGCCATGCCACCAAAATAGAAGGGTTGAGGCATCGGCCCTGGGAGAGGCTGCGGGGAAGCCTTTGAAGCCGGAGGGCAGGCTGAGTGTGTTAATATTCACTCTGCCGCAGCTGTTGCCCTGGGTTTTCTGTTTCCATGGCAGGCAGAGGCATCACCAGTCTCACTCAGACACTCCAGGGCCAGGTAGGCAGAGCCTGGGCTTGGCTCATAAATCGCTGGGTGCCACTGGGCAGCTCCCCCACCTCTCTGGGCCTCGGTTGTCTCATCTGTGGCATGGGTGACTGTGACTAGGTCGCCTCCCCGGCTCCTTCCTGCTGCAACGTTTAGGATCCGCATCCTTGACAACTTGGCCACCTACCCCTGCCTCTGCACACCCCCCTCCTATCCTCTGGGTGGCGCTCAGGCCTGGCCAGCCCAGGAAATGTCTCTCCAATTTCCCTCTCTTTCCACCTTGCCAGTGAAGGAGAAGGTTGAGGTGGGGTTGCAGAGTTAGGGAAACCAGAGGAGGTGCAATTTTTAAAAAATATGTTTTTGTTTTTTTTGTATTGATTCCAGAGAGGGAGGAAGGGAGAGGGAGAAACATTGATGTGAGAGAGAAACATCCATCAGTTGCCTCCCCTACACACCCTGGACCAGGACCAAACCCGAAACCTGGACGTGTGCCCTGACCAGAATCAAACCAATCAAACCGTGACCTCTTGGTGCACGGGGCGTCGCTCAACCAACCGCGCCACACCGGCCAGGGCCGGAGCAGGTGCAGTGTACGGGCAGCTGGTGGGGAGTCCTGGTGCAGAGCCCCTGCTCTGCCGGCTGCCCCGACATCCCTGTGCAGCAATTTCAGTTTCTATTTTAAACAGTTTGGGTTGGTTGCTTCCCTGACTTCCTGCTGGGTGTTTATAGTGAGAAAAATAATTGGTAATATTTGCACAGATGTGCTGGCACTGCAACTCATCAAGGGCACCTTTACCTGGGGGACCCGTCCTCCCCCCAGCTTCTCTGCCAGCCGGAGGAGCCAGCCTCCAGGGGGGTAGCTGCAAGCCCTGATGCCTCCCAGGAGCCCCAGGCGGTGAGGCACAGGCAGAGCTGGGAGGCAGGAGGCCTCCAGTGCCCCAGGCGTGCCCCAGAGGTAGGCCTCAGCGTGACAGGGGAGGGGGCCCTGCCGTGTTGCAGGGGACTGAACAGAGGAGCCTCCTTGGGCTGCAGGAGAGAAGCCCCTCGAAGCTTGTTCTGGTTCCATTTTTCTCGGCAAGAGCCTGCATTTGCAGGCTGCG